GATCACCCTCTCCCACTTGGATATGCAAAAAAAGATGAAGTGGCCTAATTATAAAGTTATAGGATTAGTATAATTTTTGTGCTGCAAAGTCGTCATCGCACAAGTACTGATGTTGAAACCTTCGTACACCCATCGATTTCATTGCGACGTCTATATTCATCTTTGTTCTAGAATTAAAAAACAATATTATACTAGTGAGAGATTCCTTACCAATGGACATGCCCTAAGATTCTATATAAAAAAAAAGTAAATTTAGTGTCACAAGATATAATAAATTTCAATTCATGTACAGTAAACTGCACATTTAGAACCGGTCTAGATTTTACGTACTATCAGCTGGTTTTATTGTCCCATACACAAAAAGTAATTCAATATAATCAATTAGAATCAAACAAATGAGATTACTATTACATGCACGAGCCACTAATTAAGTGATATCAAAGATATGGCGTGTCGGTGTGGGTGTTTATTGCATGCGTAACTACATATACACATTAAGTAAAACACATGAAAAGTTGATGGTCGTAAGCAAATAGCCTTCGCATATTCCTTTTGTTTGTTTAGAGAATCCACCGTATCACGAAAATAATTAAATTATTTGTCTTATTTGATTTATCATTTTTTCATGCAATTGAGTTTGAATTGAATTTACTATTACATGCACTAAGTGATATCAACGATATATTAATTATATGAAAGTGGCACGTTTGACTTACACTACCTTTTAATAATGTACGCATATAAAAAGTTACTATTCTTGGGAGACGTACAAATATATCAAACCAATTAGAGGAAAAAGATGACATGATAACCTAACTTTATTTTAGGTCACTAGCTAAGTGAGCCCCAAGTTATAAGAGACCTAATTAAATTGTTGGGTTCCCTATCAATATATTATCCTGCTCTAAGTGGACGTACTTATAAATATTATCACTAAACAAGATTTTTATTTATGCTTTTAGAATTCTTATTTGTGTGGTCGAAAATGAATTGAAGTATACAATGAAGAAAATATTTGTACCACTTGAGCTACTTCGGGTTTCCCTATTGGGTCTTATGAATATTTATGAAGTGCCCTTCAACTTATCACCACTTTTTGTTGGGTGATGTGATAAGAAGAACGGTTTAACTTTTTCTCTTATCAAATCTGGTTTTTTATATATCGTGTTGGAATTAGGTCATGATTGAAATATAATTTTATATAAAGATTTTATTGTATATTCTACTACAAAAGATCCAAAATCATTGGCATGCAAATGTTTATTGAATAAAAGTAGAATTGATTTTGGTTTAATTCACAATATCAATTAACATATGGCAATGTCATCCACAAATTTGCACCGAATATGTATAGTTCTGCAGGACAAGTATTAAGTTTAACAAATCAAGATTAAGATAAAACAAGTATAAGCGTGGAGAAGAAGTTTGCATGTCTCAAAGAAGGACTACAAGAATGTAGGACCACAAGTTAAGATGTTTTGCTTTTGACAATATAAGACAAAAGCAAAGAGCATGCTTGTTCGAATAGACAAAGAAATATTGGTGAGTTCATTTATTACATTCAAGAAGGTCGGTGGAGAGCATCCAAGGGTTTTAGGTCAAGATGTGAATATATATATTAAGACATGTACATTGTTGGCAGTGGGCGAGTGAGAAACTAGAGG